TCCCTTGATAGTTTCTTTTGCTTTGCAGAAGCTCATTAGTTTGATGAGGTCCCACTTGTCTGTCTTATTTCTTAAGGTATGGGCATTTAGGATTCTGGTCAGGAATTGGTTCCCAGTTCCAATTTCCATAAGGGTATCTCCTGCATTTTCTAAGATTCTTACAATTTGAGGTTTTACGTTTAGGTCTTTGATCCATTTACAGTTAATTTTTGTGTGTGGTGATAGGTAGGGGCCATGTTTCAATCTTTTGCATGTGATCAGCCAGTTTTTCCAGCACCATTTACTGGATGGGCTCTCCTCTCCCCAGTGATTCTTGTTGTATTATCCTTTTAATATAGGGCATTGAATTCAATCTGCTAAAGTTTTCTAAAGAATTTTTGCATCCATGTTCATGAGGGATACTGGCCTATGTTTCTCTCTCTCTCTCTCTCTTTGGTAATGTCTTTGTCCAGTTTTGGGATCAGGGTAATGTTAGCCTCATATAATATGTTAGGACATATTTCCTACTCTGACTTTCTAGAAGAGACTGTGTTGAATTGGTATTCATTCTTTAAATATTTGGTAGAATTTATAAATGTAGTTATGTGAGCCTGAAGTTTTCTTATGGAAAGATTTTTTTAAATGATCGATTCAATTTCTTTAATAATAAATAAAGGGTTATTCCTATTATGTGCTTCTCCTTGAGTGAGCTTTGATATTTAGTATTTTTAAGGAATTTGTCCTTGTCATCTAAATTGTCAAATCTCTTGACAAAAAGTTGTTCATAGTATTATTTTATTAGCCTTTTAATGTCTAGCATGTTTAATGGTGTTACCTCTCACATTCCTGATATTATAATGCATGTCTTCTCCTTTTACTGATCTTCTCAAAGAACCAGATTTTCGTTTTCTTGATTTTTTTTTTTATTGGTGCTCTGTTTTCTAGTATATTGATTTCTTTGCTGCTCTTTATTATTAATTTTGTTGTCTTTATTTTGGGGTTTAATTTGCACTTATTTTGTCTAGTTTCTTAAGTCATAATCTGAGGTCATTGATTTGAAACCCTTCTTATTTTCTAAGATATATAATTAGTATAGTAAATTTTTTCCTGAATACTGCTTTAGCAACAGCCCAAAAAATTTGATATACTGTGTTGTTTTTTTTTTACTTAGTTCAAAATACTTTTTTAATTCCTTTTTCTTTTTTTTTTTATTTAGAAGCATGTTATATTGTTTCCAAATATTTGAAAATTTTCCAGAGGTCTTTTTGTTGTTGGTTTCTAATGGAATTTCATTATTAACAGAGTGCATACTTTAATTGATCATTTTAAATTTGTTAGGACTTATTTTTTGACCCATAATATGGACTATCTTGGTAAACGTTTCATGTGCATTTGAAAAGAAAATGTATTCAGTTTTTGTTGGGTAGAGTGTTCTATAAATGTCAATTAAGTCAAGTTGGTTGATAGTGTTGTTCAAATCTTCCATATCCCTACTGATTTCTATCTACTTGTTTTATTAATTATTGAGAGCAAGTTATTGAAATCTTTGAGTATGATTGTGATTTGCCTGTTTCTCCTTGCAGTTCTATCATTTTTGCTTTGTGTATTTTGAAGCTCTATCATTAGGCACATAAATGTTTAGGACTGTTATATCCTGTTGTCATCATGAAATGACTTGTCGTTATAAAATGACTTTCTTTTTCCCATTAGTAGTCTATGCTCTGCAATTTACTTTGCCTGATATTATTAAGCAGTGCCCTCTTAACCAACATTAATGTGGTACGTCTTTTGCCAAACTTTTACTGTTAATCTGCTTGTGTCTTTGTGTTTAAAATACATTTCTTGTAGGCAGCCTATAGGTGGGTTTCCTCAACATGGGTTTCCTCAACATGGGTTTCCTCAACATGGGTAGTCTGCCAGGCTCTCCCTGAGTGTCTTCTCCTTCTGCAGCCAAAAAACTCCTCGGGCAATAAGATGGGGAAAACTTGGGATTCTTCTGTTTGTTTCCTATCTCTTGGGAGCAGGGCTTGAACAAGAGTAAGGCAAATGAGGTCCCGAGGGTGAAGAATTTAAAAGACAGTCATCACTCTCAGACACACAACTTTGAGAGTGAATACCACCTTAGATTTTGTATGCTAGGCAGCTCACTTTTAGGAAGGCACTCTTCCTCAGGGTTGGGCAGGTACGGGGTTAACACCGGGGAGTAAATGACTCCTTTAATTTTGCACCTTAAGAACTTTGCTCAGGTCACCACAGTCCTGGCCCTGCTAAAGAATCACTATCCTTCACTGCCTGATGTCTAGTGTCTTAAAAATCATTTTAGAAAATATATTCTGTCTGGACTTTTAGTTATTTCAGCCGGGAAAGTAAATCCAGTCCTGGCTACTCATTCTTTTCTGGAAACAAAACAGAAGTCTGGACTTACTCATTATGAGATTATTATATATATATATATACCTACATGAAATACAAATGCTTTCAAGCTTCCTTGAAGGGAATTCAGCCAAAGATTGATGTTCTTGTCATTCAGCTGTCAATGAGCACCTACTGTATGCCATATTCTAAGCCAGAAACTGGATTAAAATAAACAAGACATGATATGCTGTCTACCAGTGGCTTGTGGCCAGCTTCTTTGGAACTCTTAGGTTGGCTTTTTCATATCACGCGTCTCCTGTGACCAGGTGGGCAGAAATAGAGGGAAGGTGGGCCAGGGGACTGACATCCCACCATCAGAGACTCATCCATTCAGGGCAGGAGCCCTGTCCTATTCATGTCTGCATCCCTTGATGTTCGCCCAGAGACTGCTTCGTGGTAATCAGTAGATAGAAATGAATGGTTGAATGAGTGAGTGAGACATTTCTTGTAGGCAGCATGTAGGTGGCTTTCCTCAACACAGGTCGTCTGCCATTTTAGCAAGGACAGAGCTGTCCTTGTTAAAATGATGACTGTGCCTCTGGGAGGTGACTTAGATCACTCTCAGCTGGGGATGAGTAGATTGTAAAGAGCAAGCCCGCAACTGGGTCTCACAATACGAAGGATAAACAAGGTCTCTAACTGCGCTGGGCCTTGATGTGAATTCCTTAACCTCCCCAAAACTCAGTGTCCTCACCGGTATGACAGAAATTCCCATCATCCCCACCCGTGGGAGGACGTCAAGTTCCAACAGGATGAGGTAGGCTAAGGGCCTGGCAAGAGAAAAAGCCCTCGAGGAATGATAGATATTAGCCTCATTTCGTGGCAGCAGCAGGTGTGAATGGAGCGGGGCCTCACAGGTGCAGAGATCTAGCAGACGGAGTCAGCAGACTGTTCTGTGCATGTGGTGTATTTATAGATGCGCGCATGGTGCCGCCGTCACCATCCAGAAGTTCCTCCAAAGCTCACACTGCACATGGATGGGCTGGGCAATGCATGCGGACAACGTGCAGACACAGAGGTGACGGTCAGTTGACACCACATAGCCTGTGACAAGAAAGAGCATTTCCCAAGGGCAGGGCTGGTCAAAGGGGTCAGGGTGGGAATTGCACGTCCCGCCGCGGAGCGCAAGAGGTGCCGTCTGCTGTTCGTGGAGGCTGCCAGACACAGGGGTCATTCCTGAGGCCAGCGAGTTGTCCAGTTCTGGCCCACTGCGTTTGACGCATCTGGCAGGTGCAAGGGGTTGACTGAAATCAACAGACTTTAGATTGCCTTGGACGTGGTGTAGCTGAGCCAGAGGCCCGGACCCCGGTAGTTCGAGAAACCTACCTGGGAATGCTCTGATTTTCCACCTTTTTAATCACTGGGCATAGGAGATGTGACCCAGGGGTCACATTCCCCAATTCCCCACAAACTGTATTTCAGTGCACACCTGTTTTAGATTCAAGCGCTCTCGTGTCTTTAAAATTTGGACCTATGCTACTTCCAAGAAGTCTTCAGATGGAAAAATCCAAGGATATTAAATTAAATTATTATTGTAATTTTCTTTTAACCCCAGTTTTCATTAACAAGATTTTATGATTTGGGGGATTTCAAAGCCAGATTTAGAAGTGACCTTTAAGACAAGTGAGTCCAGTCTTCTCCTTGTACAGATGAGGAAACTGAAGCTCAGAGAGGTGCTGACTTACTCCTGGTCATATCAGCAGCAGCGGGATCTGGACTGGAAGCCACATTCCACATCATACTGCATGACATCCTCTGAAAACACTCCTTGAGAGGCTTTATGAATCCGATTGGGGCATGCAATTTGTGATCTGGTTTTGGCTGAAGACAGCCTCAAGTGTCCCCAGTCCTGGCCTGGCAAATTCAGGACCACAGGAGGCTCTGGGGATGGGGCGGACTTTCTCCTGCATGAATTTCAGAGCTCACTGCCCTGACAGAGGCCACAGCATTGGGCAACAGCTCACCCAGAACTTGACTGTGAGTTTTGTAGGAAGGAGTGCAGCTGCTGAGGAGTCAGGACGGGGTGGGATTAACATCAAATACAAGTTCTAAGAGCTTGAATTTGAGTCTCAGATTTTGCGATAGCTTGCTGTGTGATGTTGGGTAAGTCACTCAACCCCTCTGTGCCTCAATCTTCTCACTGGCAAAATGGAGATGATAACACGTGAAGAAAAATGTAGAAAGAGGCTATGACTTGGTGCCCGTGTCTAAGTAAATGCTCCATATGTGACACCGGGTCTGTCAGGATCTGTCTTGTCGTTTGGCTGTTCAAGTTGGGGGAAATTGGTTTCACATTCTCCCTGCTCCACCGTTTCGATCTGGAAACGTCTGTTTTCTCTCCACTCTCTTCTCTTCTCCCTTTGATGGAATGACTGGTCTGTGAGTGAGCATGGTGCCCCTCCCCACCCCACCCCCTGCCATCTTGAGCTTCCGCTAATTGAGAGACGGTTGCTGAGCGATGTCAGCACCCCCTGGTGCGTGGCCCTGGGCGTCCCTCTCCACCCCTCTTGTTCTTTTGCAGCCTCGCCCCAATTCCAGCACACCCACTTCTCTCTCCCGTCTTCCAGGTTCAGGTTCTGGGAAGGCTGAGACACTGACGAATCCGGATGGCCACCCCTGACGGGAGGGTGGCCTCCGGACCCCAGAGACCCAGCCAGGGCTCTCAGGGGAGCAGGGCCTGCCCGGGCCCCCTGGACAGCCTGGAGTGGAGGGAGACCCCAGAGCGGGCGCCGGGCCAGCTGGCCATGCTGAGGAAAGCCCAGGAGTTCTTCCAGACCTGTGACGCCGAAGGCAAGGGCTTCATCGCCAGGAGGGACCTGCAGGTAAGAGGGGTCCGGGGTAGGTTGCCCACAGAATGCCCCGTGGCACGGGTCTCCTCGTCTTGAGTTAGGGCTCGCACCCTGGGAGGTGACCGCCTTAGCAGAAAAGATGCCGCCAGTTCTATCCTGGAAGGAAGACGACACTCTCCTGGGAACCCAATCTCCTGGCTCCCTTCTCTTCCTGGCCTCTCCTAGCCGTCAGACTGGGGAACCGTTTCTCTTCTCTGACTCAGCAACGCCCCAGGATTGTGGGAAATGGTGGTCGTGACATAAGGGACTTCAGTAAGACATAGGGAAAAACCTTCTAGCACTAAAGGGAGAAAGGCACCAACCTGAGTTATTAGGAAGCCATTCTGCTGCGTGTGCCTTAGGGACAGGGGCAGTGTCAGGCTCTACACCCCGGGAGGAAGGCGTTTCCAGAGGTCCTCTGTCTCTTGCTCTCAAACCCAATCACAGTTAACCCCCTGGAAGCCTATCCAGAGGGTGGGGTGCAGAGCCTCCATGCCAGGGACAGGGCTCAGCAAACTCTCTATAAGGGTCCGAGGGATAAATCTTATGGGCTTTGGGGTCACATGGTCTCTGTCACACGGCTCAGTTCTGCGGTAGTAGCAGGAAAGTGGCTGTAGACAACACATCTCCAGATGGACATGGGTATTCCAGCACAAATTTACTTGTGGACACTGAAATCGGAATCGTATATAATTTTTACATGTCACCAAATAGTACTCTTTGGATATTTTTTCAACCATTTAAAAATGTAAAATTCATTGCTCACAGGCAATACAAAGGTACGTGATGGCCGGGTTAGCTCAGGGTCAGGGATTGCCCACCCTGGTCTGGTGTCTTTTCCCCATTAAGGTCACACATCTTCACAGTGTCTTATTTATTTATTTTTATGTCGGGGTCTCACTGTGCTGCCCCGACCGGAGTGCAGTGACACCACTGTGGCTCACCACAGCCTCGACATCATGGGCTCAAACCATCCTCCCACTTCAGTATCCCAAGTAAATGGGATTCAGGCATGTGGCCGCAACACCAAGCTAATTTTTAAATTTTTTTTGTAAAGACGAGGTCTCGCCATGTTGCCCAGGCTGGTCTTGAATGCCCAGGCTTAAGCGATTCTCTCATTTCTGCCTCCCAAAGTGCTGGGATTTACAGGCATGAGCCACTGCACCTGGCCCTCAGTTTCTTAGCTAAGTCTCTTATGCTGCGGTCAAGATTTCACCCTAATGTGGGGAAATAAACATAAGCTTCCCTAGAGTACCATGAAAGCACATCTTTGGCCCCCAATCTTTCTGTTGCTCACTCCGTCAAGAGCATCTTTTTTGGAGGGGTGCGCCTCTGTGCTCCTGGAGAATGGCCTATGATAGCCAGGTTCTCTTTCTTAAAGGCTAGCTTTTCAGAGAAATGTAGACCCCACTAGTGTCAGTTCATCTCCACTCGTGGATGTGAGCGTCGAAGCACGGAAGTTGAGAGAGGGGCCTTGTGACCCAGATGAAATGTGGCCATTCTTTCCCTCCCTGACCCCACAGGATGGGACTTCATGCTGCTTCTCAGGCTACCTTCTCTCCAGTCATGGCACAAATTGGGGAAAACGATCTGGGAACATCCCCGGCACAGGCACAAGTGAGCGCAGCCCACCCTTGCTTGCAGTGACCAACGCCCCCATAAGTTTGTGTCACTGAGGTCCATTCCCAAAGACCCCCTCCTCATGCAAAGCCGATGCAGTGTGTTTGAGAAAACCTTTGACGAACCCCTGTCGTGGACTCTTAATTGTCACTCACGGGTCTGTAGTTGTGGCGATTGCTGGGGATGGTTTTAAAAGCATGCTTCACTTTTGATTATTTCCTTTAGAAAGGAAGTAAAGGGAATTCACGCTTGTGGAGTTGCAGCAACTCAGGGCCACGTGTACCGTGAGCCTCGGGACTCTCGCTGTGTATAGCCTGAGGGGGTCTCATTGGAACCACTCCTTCTTATTTTGTTTTAAAGTCAGGTTTGCTGGGCTTGGTGGCTCAGCCTGTCATCCCGCGCCTTTGGGAGGCTAAGGTGAGTGGATTGCCTGAGCCTGTGGGTTCGACACCCTCCCGGGCAGTGAGACCTCATCTCTACAATAAATCACGGGCATGGTAGCACGTGCCTGTAATTCCGGCTACTCGGAAGGCTGAGGCGGAAGGATCGCCGGAGCCCAGCAGGTCGAGGCTGCAGTGGCCGGGAGCAGCCGCTGCACTCCAGTCTGGGCGACAGAGTGAGACACCAACTCAAAAATAAAGAAATAAATAAATACATAAAGTCAGGTTTATTCAGACACAATTAAATTGATGTAACCAAATGCATCATGAAAATTCACCAACACATCTTAAACGATAAGAATTCCCAAATTCCAACAGTTCCTCAAGTCGAAATTGTCATTTCACACTCATGGCGTTTCATCCTAAGAGCAGGTTACCCTTGTCGTTTTGGGTTATTTTTAGTGGAACAAAGTGTTGTCTCAGATTTCCTTGACTTCCGTGGCTCAAAGCCCCCTCACTAAAAGGGCTATTCTTCCTACAGCCCAAGCTTTCTGGACTCTGGAGACTTTTGGCTGGTTAGGACTTTTTTTTTTTTTTTTTAATTTTAGAATTGTGGGATACATGTGAGGACTTACTTACATAAGTAACTCATCCAGATTGAACCTCACTCTCTAATGAAGGGAGGAAAAGACATGGAGACTTTGAACTAAGTATACGTTTTTGGGGGGGTTTTTTGAGTTGGAGTCTCACTCTGTCGCCCAGACTGGAGTGCAGCGGCCACTCCCGGCCACCGCAGCCTCGACCTGCTGGGCTCCGGCGATCCTTCCGCCTCAGCCTTCCAAGTAGCCGAAATGACAGGCGTGCGCTACCACGCCCAGCTGATTTTTTGATTTATTGTGGAGATGAGGTCTCGCCGCCCAAGCGGGTCGCAGACCCGTGGGCTCGGGCAATCCACTCACCTCGGCCTCCCAAAGGCACGGGATGACAGGCTGAGCCACCGAGCCCGGCTACGTTTTTAAAGAGATCCCTTGTATTTGACTTGGAAAGTAGCCAGAAACATCAAGTCCCCAAGATACCGCCTGAGTCTTGCTCCCTTGACCTTGATCCTGATCCAAGCAGGAGGACAGAGGAACAGACAAGCAGATTCTTGTGCATCAGAGGGACTTAATGCTGCTGTCTGCTTAACTTTCTGAAGTTCTTCTGACCCTGTGGACAATGAATCGTTTGACATTTTCAATCCTTCGGGCCGAGCGAGTGCTGTCGAGAGAGGGCAAGGCTCGTCGAAACGCTGTCTCCGTCTGTTGTCGCCGGCCATGTCTGGAGGAGATGGACGGGGAGAGATGTGTGAAGACACAAGGCAGCCCTCTCATCGTCAGCTCTGGCTCTCTGTGGAAGCCCGCTAGCTCCCTAGTTACGCAGGGACAGGCCCGCAGGCCTCTGCAGAGGACACATAGCGGCGGGGTGGTGTGGTCATCCCTTGGGCTGGTGTCCGGCCCCTTGGATCGGGCCACCCTGACCTTCGACCCCTTCGGCTCCCAGCACAGCCTTGTAAGAACTGGAAGGGGAGAGCTTGCATCTTCCAGGTACATGCAAATTCAGCCACCAGAAAAGGTCCTTGACGGCAAAGGATGGTCCTGAGGGAAGGACAGGCCGTGGGCCAAGGGTGGGGGACAGTACAGAGGGAGAAGGAGTACACGGGCTCCACATGCAGACATGCTGCTCCAGGGAGGGCCACTGGTGGGTGCTGACCTCATAAGCTGAGTTTAGGGAGTCCTCAGTCTCGCTGTTGGTTCCTCAGGTCTTTTTTTTTTTTCTTTTCTTTTTGAGTTGGAGTCTCACTCGGTCGCCCAGACTGGAGTGCAGTGGCCGCTCCCGGCCACCGCAGCCTCGACCTCCTGGGCTCCGGCGATCCTTCCGCCTCAGCCTTCCGAGTAGCCGGAATTACAGGCGCGTGCTACCACACCCGGCTGATTTTTTGATTTATTGTAGAGATGAGGTCTCACTGCCCAGGCAGGTCTCGAACCCGCGGGCTCAGGCAATCCACTCACCTCGGCCTCCCAAAGGCGTGGGATTACAGGCTGAGCCACTGAGCCCGGCCTCAGGTCTTATACCATCATCCACGAGGGGCGTCCTGGCCTTCCTGGGGACCTTTCCGGCAGAAGTGGAGTCGATATTGCTTTGCAGGGTTGGTTCTGGTGCAGTACCCTAGAGGCTTCCATTGGGCTGAGTCAGCCATGCCCCAAGGGACAGAAGGACAGACAGGGACACAAAGGGACTTTGTCAGCTGGAAGAGGGAGATGGGGGCAGGAAGGGTAGGAGATCTTTCTGAGCAAACCTAGTGCCTCAAAAACCCTGTTTCACTGAATTTTCGGGAGGAGTAAGAAGGTTGTCCACCTACAGCAGGCACTTACCTCCCCAACACTGCCCAGAATTCCTGGCTTAGCCAAGCTTAAGAATACTTTGGGTGACCAGGCACCGTGGCTCATGTCTGGAATCCCAGCACTTTTGGAGGCGGATGCAAGAGGATTGCCTGAGCCCGGGATTTCAGGACTAGCCCGGGCAACTTAGTGAGACCTCATCTCTACAAAAAAATCAGAAAAATTAGCCAAGTGTAAGGGTGCATGTCTGTAGTCTCAGCTATTTGGGAGGTTGAGGCAGAAGGATCATCTGAGCACAGGAGGTAGAGGCTGCGATAGCTGATCATGCCACTGCATTCCAACCTGGGTGACAGAGTGAGATTCCAACTCAAAAAGGAGTCATCAGCCCGGGGAACTTGGCGAGCCCTCATCTCTGCAATAAATACAAAAAATTAAATGGACATGGTAGCGTGCACCTGTAGATCCTGCTACTTGGAAGGCTAAGACGGAAGGATTGCTGGAGCCAGCAGGTCGACGCTGCGGTAGCTGTGAGCGTGCCACTGCACTCCAGCCTGGGCGATGGAGTGAGACTCCAACAACAACAACAAAAGTCATTTAGGGGTCAACTAACCAAATC